ACACTGTATCACGAGGCAGAACACTGTATCACGAGGCCAAACACTGTATCACGAGGCTGAACACTTTATCACGAGGCCAAACACTGTATCACGAGGCAGAACACTGTATCACGAGGCCGAACACTGTATCACGAGGCCGAACACTGTATCACGAGGCCGAACACTGTATCACGAGGCCGAGCACTGTATCACAAGGCAGAACACTGTATCATGAGGCAGAACACTGTATCACGAGGGCGAACACAGTATCACGAGGCCGAACACTGTTTCACGAGGCCGAAACACAGTATCATGAGGCCGAACACTGTATCACGAGGCCGAACACTTTATCACGAGGCCGAACACTGTATCACGAGGGCGAACACTGTATCACGAGGCCAAACACTGTATCACGAGCAGAACACTGTATCACGAGGCCAAACACTGTATCACGAGGCCAAACACTGTATCACGAGGCCAAACACTGTATCACGAGGCAGAACACTGTATCACGAGGCAGAACACTGTATCACGAGGCCGGACGGCGTTGGTCGTTTAGTGTGTTTTAAACCACTTGTCTGTCTTGTCGTGGCTCGATTGTTTACGCCGTTTACGCTGGGATGCTGACTTTGGTGAAGTCCATCCGTGGTACGACCCAGAATATGTAGAGGGCGTCATGGAAAATGATAAATACCAAATTCTTTCGAATAGGCCCGTATCTAGGCCAACAAACCAGATCTTGTCGTTTTTAATAAATCCAATAAAATCCTTTCTATTATTGAATTTTCTGTCCACTTTGACACGAATGTGACAATATTCAGGAAAAACATGGAAAATATGCGGACTTCGCTTTCGAAATGTCACGCTTGTATCCCAAGTACCAAGTTGTCCGACTCCCCATTGTTCTCGGTGGGATACGATGACATGCATCAACCAAGTCAGCGAGCCTGACCACCCGATCCCGTTAGTCGCCTCTTACGACAAGCATAGTCGCCTTTTACGGCAAGCATGGGTTGCTGAAGACCTATTCTACGGCTGCGTCTTTGCTTCATGTTTTATTTTAATCTGTACATAATAATAATATTAATAGAATTATGAGCAATAAGATAAATATTGTACATATGACAGGAAGATGTACTGGTGAATATTAATGACATGACGCATTTATACAGCATTGTTTATATGTAGACTGTACAGGAAATTAGACTGTGGTCTTTTTAAAGGGATGATAAATTTATGTGTAAAAATACCTATTTTAAAGGGATGATAAATTTATGTGTAAAAATACCTATTTTAAAGGGATGATAAATTTATGTGTAAAAATACCTATCCATATTCAAGTGCATTTAAAGCTTCTCTGATAATATCCTTTTCAGTGACTGCGAGACCGCTTCCGTGGTCTTGTAGTAGAGCATCCGCCCGGAGAGCGGAAGGTCCGGGGTTCGATCCCCGGCCGCGTCATACCAAAAGACGTTAAAAGATGGTACTTGTTGTTACCCTGTCTGGCGCTCGGCATTAAGGGGCTAAAACAAGGACCGGTATTCATGTTAAACTGCGGCACGGTATCTTATGAAATACTGTGAGGGACATTCTCGCGATCTCGCATTCTCGCTATCTCGACCTTTGGAAACGAGCTAAATATGCCCAAATATGCTATGTGTTTTTGGTACATAGCACTTTTTGTCAAAAGTCGACAACGCGAGAATGCGACATTTGGACATGGTGCAAAATCTCGATATCTCGCAATCTCGACTTGTTAAATTAGGCCACAAAAACACGAAATCGCGCGAGAACGCGAGAATGCGACATTTCATTTTCTCGCGATCTCGCGTTTTAGACGCTGTCCGTGCGCATGCGTAATATCATAGGTCACGGCGCATGCGCACGTTAGTAGTCCTTTGGTCATGCTTCTTTCATGCTCTTCATTCTCCAAGTAGCATTTAGCAAAATTATGACTTGAGCTTGAAAATGCTATATAATTTACAAACACAAAGTCCTATGTGGAATAGAGTAGAGTCCTCTCCCGTTATGTGACTTTCCTATGTACTTTATATTAAAACCCTCAACACGCTCAATATAATTTAACAAAAGAAATGGTGTACCTGAATGTCCAATGATAATGAAAACATTAATGTGTCCGAAAGCTGGAAGCAAAACTATCACCGTCAGTGAGTGAGTGAGTAATATTGCTTAAAGCCGCATCAACAGTATTGCAGCTATTCGCGGCTACACTGTCAGTTACAGAAATAATCACAAGCCAGTGGGTTTCTCAATGAGGCAATTTTATACACGGCTATAATATTCATTAAAATAAAATTCTCACAGACCAATTTGTACCATTCGGCTAAAATGATATTGTCCGATGTTTGTTTTTTAAACGATACCATATTCGCAACTTTAATTAATAGATTTTCATCCGCTCCCACCTGACAACAAAACATCCTGCCTTACATTATTCTAATGCCCTCAAATTCCTAGAAGTAGAAGTATCGTTAATATGAGTGTTCCTACTTGCTTTACCTGATGAAATACTCCGTACACGTAGCCCTACTGAGCACACATGATGCATGTGAATCGCACCCGTCGACAGCAATTGTACACATATGCCTTAAGTAGGTCGATAAGAACAAAATAAAACGTTAAAAATAAAATGCCTCCCGTCTCCCATGTTTTTGAAATAAACAATCAACTGTAACTATTAATTTTTTGAGGCCTTAACATCCAAATGACAGGCATGCTTATACTGGAAAAGTACCCCCAATATCCAGCCTGAGGGACCGGCATGGCTCTGAATGAGTGACTGAGTTTAGCTTAACACCGCTTTGAACAGTATTTATATTTCAGTTATGTCCCGGCTTGTCGGTTTAAAGGGGCACTAATCTTCTTCTCGGTTGTCTAACACTGCCAGCTGGGGCTCACTATCTGCCGTGAGTCGATTTGCTCGCTGACGCAACTGAGCGTGACAAGAGACTGGGCTTCCGTCTTCATGAACACTGATTGGTTACCTGTAATCTATCAATCTCAGACAAAGGGCGCATGTTAATTAATTTCTTCAGCCTAAACAAACGGACAAAAAGAACGATGGAAGCTCATCGGATGTCGTTATTTTGAATACCCCAGATGGTTATAGTTTAATAGTTAAAAAATGGTATCCCAGCAGTGAAAGCGTTTTCGGATTTTGGATGGCGCGGATAATACGATTGCTTTCTCTTGTTTACGGTGGCCCATACGGGACATGGAGTCTGTTTTTCCATATTTTGATATTTCACTTATTATCGTAACCGTTTGCAAATTAACACGATTTGTCTTACAAATAGGTGATAAATCATGTGTAAAGAAGATATTGAATCGCTGAAAAGTGAAACGAAAATATCAAAAACTAAAATGAAAATGTCAAAAACTAAAATGAAACCACAGAAAACTATTTACACCATGGTGGAAATATTATCACCGCGGTGGAAATTGTTTCTGTGGTTTCATTTTAGTTTTTTAACATTTTCGCTTTTGTTTTGGACATTTTCATTTTAGTTTTTGACCTCTTCGTTTTTGTTTTTGACCTTTCCATGTTAATTTTTGATATTTTCGCTTCACATTTCAGCGACTCAATAGCTACTTGGAAGTACATTTTCCATGTTTCGGTTGTTTTTATACGTGATTTATAACATATTTGTATGAAAAATTGTGTTAATTTGCTGAAGGTTACGATAAAAGTAAGTGAAACATCAAAATATTGAAAAACAGACTCCATGTCCCTTATGGGCCACCGTAATTTTAGCTATAAAATAATGTAAAGCGGGATGTTTTGTAGTCAGGTTGGAGCGGATGAAAATATGATAATTAATTTTGTATTTCAAATTGGTCTGTGAAAATTTTGCTTTCATAAATATTCTAGCCGTGTATAATATTGTCTCATGGAGAAACTCACTGGCCTGTGATTATTTCTGTAACTGACAGTGTAGCCGCGAATAGCTGCAAATACTGCTGATGCGGCTTTAAGCAATATTACTCACTCACTCACTGACGGTGATAGTTTTGTTTCCAGCTTTCGGACACATTAATGTTTTCACTATTATTGGACATTTATGGACACAATTTCTTTTGTTAAATTATATTGAGCATGTTGAGGGTTTTAATATAAAGTACATAGGAAACTGTAACAACAGAGATGACTCAGACTTTGTGTATGTAAATTACAGAGCATTTTCAAGCTCAAGTCATAATTTTGATAAATGCTACTTGGAGAATGAAGAGCATGAAAGAAGCATGACCAAAGGACTACTAACTTGCGCATGCGCCTTGACCTTATGATATTACACATGCGCACGGAAAGCGTCTAAAACGCGAGAACACGAGAACGCGAGATCGCGAGAAAATGAAATGTCGCATTCTCGCGATCTCGCGAGTTCGTGTTTTTGTGGCCTAATTTTGCGAGATTTCGATTGCGAGATTTCGAGATATTGCATCATGTCCAAATGTCGCATTCTCGCGTTGTCGACTTTTAACAAAACGTGCAATGCACCATAAACACGAGAATGCGAGATCGCGAGAACGCGAGATTTCGGCAAAATCTCGCGTTCTCGAGATCTCGTATTCTCGTGTTTTGGGCATATTTAGCTCGTTTCCGAAGGTCGACATCACGAGAATGCGAGATCGCGAGAAGGTCCCTTACAGTATTCCATAGTATCTCACTGACCTAGCACTATAAATCGACCTCAGTCCGGACTGGAATGACTGGTACAAGCAGCGACACACACACACACACACACACACACACACACACACACACACACACAGAGAAACACACACACACACACACACAAACGCACACACACACACACACACACACACGCTATATATAAGTGCAATAATCTTGGACGCGACGTTAAACCCAAATTCACCTCACCTCACCGTGACTACGAAACTGTTGAAATATATTACAAGCAAGTCCTGAAGCTTGTTTATAGAATGTTTTATGGACTAAAGCAATATTGTATTCTGAACATAAACCCGTACAAATCAACAGATACGTGGAAACAATTTGAATGAGACACTCGCGTCATATTGTCTTGTTGGACGTGAGCGGCATGTGCATCCACGCAGTGTCCCGCAGTTGCTGACGACGAATTAATATGGCGGCGGATCTGGTCGAGGAACGAAAATGTGAGTTAGAATGGCTATTTTCAATTCTTTTTCTAACGTTCATTTTCATTTCTTTAATCCCAAATCGTCAGCTTTCTAAAGTGCAATACAGGTACCTGCTCACCTCTTGTTTATCACGCCCCATGTACATTCCAAATTATCATTACTACGATGTACAAAATACATGTGAAGATAATTTATGTGAAAATATTGGTAAACCTGAAATGTGTAATTCACAGATTGTACACAGATTTGATTGTATACACTAATTCTCTGTCGTCTTATGGTAGAGCATCTGCTCTCCTGGCATTGTTCTGTATTCTCACCTTGTCATCACATACAACCATCCCATACTTCACATACGTATTCAAAGTGTGGTCAGAGGCGACTAACGGGATAGCTCGATGACTTCGTTGATTCATGTCATCGTATCAAAATTGCGTAGACCGATACTCATGATGTCAGTCACTGGATTGTCTGGTCCAGACTCGATTATTTACAGACCCCCGTCATATAGCTGGAATATTACATACAGACATACATTGGGAGATTTAACGTGCGCTTTCCGACTGCAGCGTATTTCGCAGACGGGTCGGCCGGGCCATATAGTGTATTTGCCGAATGGGACAAAAATGGGGGGGTTGCAACCAGGATGGGGCTTTATTGGTTGCTTATATATTGTTTTGAAATTTGGAGATTTGGAATTTGGAATTAAGTAGATGCCTAGGGCTTTGAAGTTTTCTGAGTGGTTTGTTGGGTTTAAGATTGAGTCTAGGGTTAGTGTTTTATCTGGGGATATTGAGGGTTTTTTTGGTTCGAGGGGTTATTATATTTGGTTGAAATTTCACATGTGTAATGATACATGTATGTATGGGTTATGTCTGAATTTGCAGCACCGAACTATTAATCTTACCACTTTTACAGGTGTTATGATCGAGTAGGGTGTGACAGTGGAGCCAGTAGAATACCGAGCAGTGATTAGGTTTTTATATTTGAAAGGTCGCACACTAAACTTATGGGGAAGATGCCCCATCATATGACGTTGTTAAACACTGACATCGCCAGTTTAAGTGTGGTCGGACATCTGTGGAAACAGCTGCCATTCCTGGTCGCCCCCATTCAGCCATTGATGAGGACACTATCAATCAAGTGGAGACCGCCATTTTGACAGACCGACGTATAACTGTTCACCAATTAGCACAAGATGTCAAGATCAGTGTGGGGTCTGTGGAAAAAATCTTCCATGACAATTTGAACATGCATAAGGTGTCTGCACGATTGATTCCAAGGCTGCTCACACCTTTCCAAAAGCAGGAACGAGTCAATTGCTCAAAGGATCTTTTGGACATGTGCCAAAAAAACCAGGCAAACTTTTTTTACAGACTTATCACACAGGATGAAACATGGGTCCATCACTATGATCCTGAGACTAAAGTTCAGTCGATGCAATGGAAGCATGTGGAGTCACCACCCCAAAAGAAGGCACGTGTCCAACCCTCTGCAGGCAAGGTCATGCTCACGGTGTTTTGGGACCAGCACGGAGTAGTGATGATGGATTTCTTGGCAAAGGGTACCACAATTACAGGAGCTTACTATGCTTCACTGCTGCGGAAATTGCGGGACGCTATGAAGCTTAAGAGGCGTGGCATACTGACCAATGGTGTCCGTCTCCTGCAAGACAATGCTCCAGTTAACAACTCTCATGTTGCCCAGACAGAAGCGCGGTCCTGTTGCTATGAAATCCTTCCACATCCTCCTTACTCGACTGACCTTGCACCATCTGACTTCCACCTCTTTCCAACCATGAAGTCATTTTTTAAGGGAAAACGTTTCACAGATGATGAAACACTGATTTCTGAAGTCAAGTGCTGGTTTGAGACGCAAAATGAGGGTTTGCGATGGGGTTTGTAGTGTAGGCAATGTAAGAGTTCATATTCTGGGGTTTCTGGATTGGTGCAGTGTGGGCATGTTCCTAGTGTTTGGAGATTGGTTGTTCTTTGGTGGTTATTAAGATATGTGTGTCCTGTTTGGAGTTTAGTGATTATCCTGCCTATTCTCTTGGTTGGGTTGAGAGTTTTGGGTTTAGGTAGGGGTTTGTTGAGGACCTTTCTTAATTGACATTTTCATTTTTGAAACGTAAACGTTGAGCCATTTTTTTTAGATTTTCCTTTTAGTGATGCTTTTGATTTCTGATTTGGAGAGTGGGAGGTTAAGGCTGATTTCTGGTAGCTTAAGGGAAGATTTTGCGGCTTTGTCTGCGTGTTCGTTTCCGAATATACCTACATGGGCTGGGATCCAGATGAATTGTATTTGTTTGCCTGCCCTAGTTAGGTCGTTAGAGCTTTTAAGTATTTTGTTTATGAGTTTGGGTCAGTTTTTGGTGTTTTTATTTTTGAGAGCTTGGAGGCCGCTAAGAGAGTCTGTAAGTATTAGGATTTGTTGGTGATTTTTGGTTTGTTGGTGGTGGAGGGCTGAGGCCACGCCCATTTAGTCGGCAGTGAAGATGGATTGGTTGTTTGGGAGTCTAATTGATTGTGTATGTTTTTTTGGTTGAGATATGTGGACTCCGAAACCTGTGTGATTGGAGATCGGATCGGAAGATCCGTCTGTATATGTGACACCAATTTGGCCAGTTTTCGTGGTTGTATGCTAGTGTAGTGCTTTTAGCTGAGTTGGGGTCGGCGTGTTTGTTTAGAGTGTCGGCCAAGTTGTGTCTATTTTAGGGGTTTGTAGTTGGGGAGTGACGATTTTAGAGTTTTTAGTGTTCTGTATTAGGTTAATTAGGTTATGTTCTTTGAGATAGTTTGTTATCCTTTGGGATATTTTGGTAAGTAGGGGGTGTTTTCTAGTTAAGGCTTTGTTTTTAGGGCTGATATTGTTTTTGATCATGTTATGGATTAGTGGGTTTGATTGGGAAGCGGCCCAGAAGTTTAGTGTGAGTTGTTCCCTTCGGAGTTCTAGAGGGATTTCCCCTGTTAGCGCTTGAAGTGAGGGCCATTTTGATGCTTTTAGTGCGGATCCAGAGTGCTCCGTCGTCTACAAATTTTGATGTGTTGACTTTTTGGGATATTCCCTCAAAGAGGTCGTTAATCATTATGTTGAAGAATGTTGGGCTGAGGATGCTGCCCTGGGGTGTACCATTTTCTAGGGGACCTTGGTCCGATAGCGTCTGGTCTATATCCACTGTTATTTTGCGGTTTGATAGAAAGTCTTGGATAAAGTTGATTATTTGACCTTTTAGACCTATTGTTTTTAGTTTTTGAATTACCCCGAGGTGCCAAACCATGTCAAAAGCTTTTGAGAAATCTAAGAATATACCTGTGGTGCATTGTTTGTTTAGTTTGCCCTGTTCTAGTTGGGCGAGCTTGTCAAGAGTTGAGCGGCCAGGAGTGAAACCGCTTTGGTCAGGATTTATAATGTTATTTTGGTCTAGGTAGTGCTGGAGCCTATTTTTAGTCATTGATGCCATTACTTTGCAGAGGTTGGAGGTTAGGGAGATTGGTCGATATGAGTTGGCCTGATCTGCTGGTTTATTTGGTTTAGGTATTGGTATGACTAGAGCTTCCTTCCAGGTAGTTGGGACCTGTCCGTTTAGGTAGACTAGATTGTAGAGTTTAAGAAGAGTTTGGAGTAGTTTAGCCGGTAAATCTTTGATGATCTGTTGGGAAGTGAGGTTTAGGCCTGGCGCTGTTCCTTTTTTCCTATGGTTTTGTACGTGATTTATTTCTTCTATTGTGAAAGATGGTTTATTTCTAATTTGTCATTTTTATTTAGTTTTTCTTCGAATTTCTTGCTAAAGTTACTGTTACTGCTGACCTCTGAGAAGTGTTTAGGTAGGATGTTTGCCTTTTGGGTGGGATTGGTTGAGTTGTTTATGTGCTGGAATATTGCTGAGTGCGGCGTTAAACATCAAACAAACAATCCGATCGGGATCTAAATTCTAAATTGTCTTCTACGACGTCCGCGCGCCAAATTCCAGCTTAACCATTCACGGTAGATCATTGAGCTCTTTCATCGTGCTCTCTCGCCAAGGCCAAGGTCACCTAACACACGCTCTCACAACCACAACACGGACAACCACATTACTATACTCTCTCGTATTTGTTATTTCAGCCTCTCTCTCCCGTACACCACGCCCAGTAACTACTCTCTATTCAAACGGCTACTTTACAATTTCTATGAACTTTTCATATATCGTTAATAGTATTTCCATGAAGATTTTTGAGAGGTTTCTCGCAAGAGGCTGTGTGAATTGGTTGACTGCTTTTTCCAATCAATAGTAATAATAAGGATATTATTAATAAGTGCATTTGTCAGGCGCTGTTTTCCATCCACCATGTGGTTGCTCAAAGCGCACTTATTACTCTGGTCAATGGATCAGAGTGCACTTAAAAATCATTGTCAGCTCCCTGAGGAGTATCCAACCCAAGATGCCTATGAGACGCTTGGAGGTTAACATCCGTGTCATCCTACCAATTCACTGCTGGGTGAACAGAGGTACATTTCGAACATGTGCTTCAGTGTAGGTCAGGACCGAAGCCCTAGAAACTCACAGGACCCAAGTTGCCGAACACGGTCACCCATCCAAGGACTCTCCGCGACTAACGTGTCTTAACTTCACATAATGTGTGACCTGTGCATGAATGGATGCTCATGATATCAATCACTCGTGCAGAATATATCATTTGCAGATCGCTGACATATAGCTGGAATATTGCTAACTACAGCGTTAAACAACAAACAAACGCGTCTTACGTTTCCCAAAAGGTTCGCTCCTGTGTTGATTTCAAATAAGAGCATCACTGTATTGTCTGGTCCAGACTCGATTATTTACAGACCGCCGTCATATAGCTGGAATATTGCTGAGTGCGGCGTTAAACAATCAATCAAACAAACAAACATCAAATAAGTGCAGCATGGATGATTGCATGTCATTATACCCTAATGGCGGGACCTGTGTACATGCTCTCAGTCACTAGTGTCTCTGGTCTGGACACGATTATTACACTGCCGAGATGTTT